GCAAAAGGAAGAAATATGGAAAAGATGATTCCTGCATTTGGTGGGATGGCTATATTGTCTTGATGGCATAAAGGTCAATGAAATCGTTCAGGCTGGAATGTCTTCACTGAAATGTCAGATGAAAGCACAGACTTCCACTTTTATCAGCTGAATCAAGAAAGTCATACAAAAAGAACTTCAAGGCATTTGGAAGAGGAATTTTTATTCCCAGCCTCCTAAGAGTTTCAAAAGAATTTTTTTTTTAACTATGGCAGTGAACCTGGCCTCTAAATTGGATATATTGGCACTTCTATTCAAACATAAGTTCCTGAAATTGATTATAGTACTCATTTTTTAAAAAATTGCCCTGGTATACAAATAAAGCTAATGTCCTTTTTACTCAATAAACAGGATTTCTCTCTGCAAAACAATTTAATATGAAAAAAATTAATAAAGTATTTTTAAATAGGAAGGAAATTCAAGTAATTAAAATGATCTCTTTGAAGATGGTTAATTCTTGATTAAATAAGCACATATTCGAGGCCAATAAATCAAACTCCCCCAAACTCTCAAATATGACATTTTAAAAATAGCTTTCATCGTATTTATCTGTTTAAAAAAACAACCCATCTGGTTTACCACCAACTTCTTCAAACGCAGTTAGTAGGAAAGATTTTTATCTTATTTCTTATACTGTGAGGAAATTATCCTCCTTTTTAGAAAGCTGAAGGAGGTTGGAAGATTCATCATCATCTATATAAATAAACACAACTAAGGATGCCTGTTCTACTCCTTCATAACCACGGACAGCTACAGATCAGTGGCCAAGAGGGCATTCATTCTCATTTTGAAAGCCAGGTAAGATTGTTTTTCAAAAGAACAGAATGTGCATATTGAATGGAGAAAGAAGACATTGTGGATCCTGAGAACAATATACAACAAAGACAAGACTAACTGTCTTATTATAGAGTGCATATAGTGGCTCTACCGCCAGCATGAACCATTCATTGCCATCAACATTTCTTCTAGTGGCTCTAGTCTATCAATGACTCATAAGGGATTCCTACACATACAATGGTAGGACAGAAGATGCTTTTATGACCCCACAGAGGGAAATTAATTAGAATTCTTAATTTTACGCCATTTAAAGCATATTTCCATGAAATAATGGTGCCGTTTAAAACAAAACAAGAACCCAATTCTATTATGTCATTAACAATTAGACAAACTTTCAAGAATCAAGGGGGTAATTCAGGGGGAAGAGGAAATGCAGGAGTGAATAAACGCAGGAGACAAGGACAGCAACAGCAACAAAGCGACAAACAGAAACTTGTTTCTAAATATATAAAGAGATGGGGTGAAAGCGGAAATCTGGTAGAGGTGATGATGAAGAGGTAGATGGAGGCATTATGGATAGTGCCTGGTGATACCTTGCCTCTTTTATGGGACAATACTGCAACATGAGAAGGTACATGAAAAGGAAGGAGAAGGGAGAAGGAGGATAGAGAGGAGTGTGTTATACGCTAGGTGAAATCAAGGGCTAATAATGAGGGGAAGGTGGTCTCAGAAAGAGAAGAGCCTACAGGGTAGTGGTGGAAGATGACGGGGAAAATATTGCCAAGGGACAGAGGAAGAAAGAAGGCCTTACTTTGAAAGTGGAAGAGACTTCCATTGATGAATGCTCCTATGAGTGATGGGAGACGAGGACTTTGCACAGGATTAGGCCTGTGGGATTTGGTGCTTCAAAAGTCTACTTGTTCTGGGAGGGGGGAAGTTGGAACCCCTGGGGGCGACCGGCACTTGGGAGGAGTGGGAAAGCAAGGACACAAAGATATTTTCCAAGCAAATGCGGAAAAAAGTTCAACAAGAGAGGGTATAGATCAATGGTGGGGGAAGGAGGTCTACAATGGGACAGTAACCTCTCTGACATTTACAATAACTGGCACTGTTCTGAGAGTGAGACACAATGGAAAAGTGGAATCCATGGGAAAGCTCTGAAAGGCAGTGACAAAAAGTGCCTAGAAAGGAGAGCCTAGAAGGGAAACCTCAGAAGCTTTGATTGTAAGAAGAATATAGAGAAAAACAAAGATCAGATGATTATGGGAGTCATGAATCAGAAAATGAGGGTCTAAGGTAAACAGAAAGAGAAGATAGATAATGAAGAAAGTGAGAGAAATCCCTTTAATGGAAAGAAGGGCAAAAAAAAAAAAAGAAACTTAAAAGAACCAAGGGGTAGTGATTTTTGTTATGAATTAAGGGACTGCTATAGAACATGTAAGTGTTGGCAGAAAACTCACTTTTGAATAAGAATTAGGAAAGTAGTCAGTTTCCAGATCCAATTTGCAAATTAACCATTGCAGATTTCACATTCATGTCTACTTATATAGCCTTACAGAGTACGCCTACGATGCAGCATGGCATAGTGGAGAAGGGCTAGCCTTGGAATCAGAAGGATCAGGTTTCAAGCTTTAATACTGTCATATATTAGCTGTGTGCTTTTGGGCAAGTCGTTTAACTTTTCAGTTTCCCCAGGTAACTCTCTGAGACTACAAGTTAGAGAAGAGATGCTGCTGTGCATCGATGGAGGGATTTTCCACAGGAGGGAATTCCCCACATTGATGAAGTCTGACAGTCTCTTCCCAATGCCTAATAATCAATATTTCCATGACTGTTGATCGCTATCTTTTAAAATAATTATATCAACATGTTAGTACCAATTATTACGAGTAAGTAGCAATTATTCTTGTGACAGAGAAAACAACAAAATATCTAAAACATACTTTAAACGTCAATTTACTTTTAAAGTAACATTTTCTAGAATTAATACAGTCTTCTTCTAAGATGTTGAGTACTTTAAGAAGTTCTTATATATCCCCAAAACATATACCAATGGGGCATAAGGAGTGTTAGACTCATTTTACTGAAAAAGAAATTGTGGGATAGATTGGATAGAATTTCCCAAAATCATACAACCAGTAACAATAGGAACAAGGGAGAATTATCTAAATCATAGTGAGTCCAACTACTCTAAAATTTTATATAATCATTCTAGGTTTCCTAAACCTGAATTTAACATGCTTGAGTTTGAGGTAAAAATATCATGTAGTAGATGTCTATGAGGAATCAGACAAGTAAACAACTTGGGGCCCACAAATGGCATGTGCTTTAATAACAGACAAATGTTCAATTTCAGTGTGACATGCTAAGAATGCTGGGTGTGGTGATGTGGCTTTTTTGGAATCAGACAAAACTACAGAATTCTTTGAGTCATACCTATTAACTGCTTGATATTCATATTAGGCAGGCTGTTGGTAAATGTTTTATATAAAAACATGCTTGGCTCTCCTCAACATGTTGGCAGATGGGGTGATTGACAAGGAATTTCATAGTAGATTGATGATGCTTTCAGTAAACTTTTAAAAAAATAAGTAGCCTAATCAACCTGTTTCATTCAAAGACTTGAATGTTCAGTAAAGAACAAAGATCATTGGATCAAGGTTATATGGCTGTACCATCCACCATCAAAAAAGTTTGAATTTAATGTTTTCTGCTCACAGGTAATGGTGGAAAGGGAATGGAAAACACAGTTCTAAGACTTAACAGAAGTTAACTGGCATTTTAATCATCACAACTCAGAATAAACATAACCCAGCAGCAATATATACTATTACTAAATTAAAATAGTTTGGATTTTTTTTTAACCCTGAGGGTCAAATGAAACTCCCAATTCTGTACACAGTTTTAGTTACATTTCATGTAAACAACATCATCTCAAGGACAGTTAGTCCTGCTAAAGCCCACAGCCTTGGTCACATCACTGAGTTGGTGGAAAACAGGAGCAAAACTGACTCATGGCCAGACTGACATATCATTACAATGTGACCATGTGGATTTCCTGTCCTATGCGGATGTGCAAATGCGGTCATAAGCCAGATCCACCATGCCCCTTCCTGATTTCAGCTGCACCAGAAAGGCTGTGGCCTCCAGTACGTTCATCTTATTGATATTTTAAAATCAAGTCTTTTAGGAAACCTTATCATGTCGAAAAAAGTAAATGCCAGATTTACTGAAAGCATCATCAATCTACTATCAAATTCCTTGTCAATCACCCCATCTGCCAACATGTTGAGGAGAGCCAAGCATGTTTTTATATAAAACATTTACCAACAGCCTGCCTAATATGAATATCAAGCAGTTTCTATTTTGATTTATGTTTCTCTTGGGTTCTTCGCAACTCAGATGTTCCAAATTTTTCACTCTCAAAATCCCTTACCTTCTCAAATACTATAAAATAGATTCCTATCTCTTTCTTCTCCATGCATCCTGTCTCTCCCAGCTGGGGCGCCCTGTTTTTCCCAAACTTCTCAGCCCTACCTCCGAAGCTGCTAGGGGCAACTGAGTCAAAATGAGAAAGTTCCCAAGGAATTGAGACATTTTGCTTGTCTGTTCTATACAATGCTGGAAAATAGTGATTTGGTTCAACTCCAAGTAGAGTAATATTTAGCTCATAATTTTAATAATTCTCACATAGCACTAAATGGCATTTATAATAAAATAAAAAATAATATATTGATGAAAAAACATGTGCTCATTTCATGCTTTACATTAATTGGTAACGAACCTAACAAATAGTCCTTGATATAACCAATCTACAAATAATTTAATGAACAATATTTATAAAGGAGAAACAAGCATAAGATGGGATTTCCTGCCCTCAAGGACCTATTCACTCCTCAAGATAAATCACAACAAAAAAAAAAAGCTACTCAAAAAAAAAAAGCAACTGCTAGAGTCTGGTCACTGGCATTTTATATATGAGATCTAATGGCTTGGTGGTATTAATGAAATGCAGCTCTTACAATGACAAATTATTTCAGGGAAGTGAGACTCAGAGAGTCTGCTAAGTAGTGGGAAAACAATATATATGGAGGTTGCTAAACAAAATGAAAGTTTCAAAATGAAATTAGCCAACTTTCTTGTTACTAATTGTCATAGAAGATTCCAAATCAAAATACAAGTACCATTTGACTCTGAAGCCATTCAATCAGAGTTTCTGCTGTTGAGTCAGGGACTTGACATCTCAATCCTTCCTTCTCATCTGTTTCCATCATCTCTAACAAGCCACGAAGATCTTCCACCAGATGCAAAGCTCGCAAGCTTCCCATGAATGGGGAGGTTGGAGATTGACAATCAAAAATCCCGTTGGAATATTCCAAGGCCTTAGAACCTAGAAAAAGTGAAATGAAAGCAATGAAGCTTACATAAATCCAGCTCTTAAAAAGCCAAAAGAAAAGCTATATTTATGGCCTTGGCTAGGAAACCATTTTATCAGAGTTGTTAAGAAATTTATGGGCTAGAGCGATTATAACCTATCAATACCACTATATGGTGCCAAACTCCCCTATACAGGGAGTTTACAAATAACAAATTCCTGACAAGATAATGAAATCATAAATGTCAGAATTGGAAAAGACCTCAGAGTTCATCTATATGTCATCTATCATCTATCTATATATCTATTCTCAATCTGATATAGAAATCTCCATACCACAGACTCAATAAGAAGCTATCAAGTCTTGACTTGAATACTTTCACTGATGGGGAATTTATCTATCAAAAGAGTCCATTCCACTATAGCCCCAATAAACGTTAACTGTTGGGAAATTTTTCCTCATATCAAGTAAACATCTACTTTCCTTTTAATCCCACCTAGTTAATTTATTTATAAAATTACTAACACTGAACAGACACTTTTGATAAATAAGGACAGAGTAAGAGAATAATTAATTGCCCTTGATGAATTATTGACAGATATGAAAGCTATACTACTGTCAGTAATATTTGAAAGATCATGGAAAACCAGAACTATCCTCTAAAACAGTGGTTCATAGGACTGGAGACTGACAAATGTTGCCCCAGTGTAGCCCTTCTAACCTAAAAAAGGTTAGAGAACAAATCCGACAGAATTTAGGACAGTGACCCTAACTTCAATTCCTGGTCAAATTCTAGGTCAGATCAATCTGATCTAGATGATTGCTGAGTATCAAGACAGGAAAGCAGTAATTACAAAGAACCAACATATCTTTATAAAGAATAAGCCACACCAAACTGATCTGATTTTTGGGGGGGACAGGATCATTAAACGAGTAGATGAGGGGGTGTTTTGGATATAGTTTACCTGGAGCATCTACAGAGCTAAAAGCTCACCACCAAAAAGATTTACCCTGAGTTAATGCATTTTTATATTGTTTCCTCACTAGTAGAGAGTTAGAAAAATGAAGGCCTGGCCTGGATTGGAGATGCTGTGCGATACACACATTTTGACCCAGATATACCAGAAGGAAGAAATTTTATGAAGCAAGAACATTTGGCATCCGCTTGGGGGGAAAATATGTAGAGTATTGGAATGGTAACATCACTAAATAACTTCTGAGGCACAACAGCCCCAAAGAGAGATACCACAATTATAGAACAGAGATTCCATAAAGAAATCCAACTGAACTTGGGGGAAACATGATGTAATAAAGAGAATATTGGTCTTAGAAATAAAAGAACTGAGTTTGTATCCCAGCTCCAATAATAACTACTTCTATAACTCAAGGCCAGGGACTGAACCTCTTGGGTTTTGTTTTTTTTTTTCATATATAAAAGCATTATATGGATAGAACATGGGCTCTGGAGTCAGGAGTACCTGAGTTTAATTCCAGCCTCAGACACCTGACACTTAGCTGTATGACCCTGGGCAAGTCACTTAACCCTGACTGCCTCACACCGCCCCCCCCCCCCACAAAAAAAAAGAAGAAGAATGTTCATACTGCCTGCTTTACAGGACAGTGAGAATGTAACATTAGAGAAATGTGAGTGATTATCACTGTTATATTTGATCTGAAATCTATCTTCTCTTAATTTTTATCTACTGAGTCTGGAACTATCCTCTAAAACAGTGGTTCTCAAAGTGTGATCTTGGGAGCTCTGGGAGTTCCTGAGGTCAAAACTATCATTATAATAATACATTTTATGCAACATATATTGTATATAATGTATAGACATATAAAAATGTACAAATAACATATATAATACATTTTAATTTTTTTTCTCTAATGAGAAAAATATAGATAGATATAGCCCACATAAACAAAAGCTCTTCGGTTAGGGGAGAGCCTCAATAATTTTAAAGAGTGTGAAGGGGCCCTGAGACCAAAAAGTCTAAGAATCAATCAATGTTCTAGTCTAGAACTAAGTCTAAGTGTAATCCCTCTTCCAAATGATAACTCTTCAAATGTTCAAAGGCAGTTACCACATCCCTTCCTCCCCCAAGTCTTCTCTTCTACAGAGCAACCACGCCCATCTCCTTTAACTCTTTCTCACAGGACATGGTTCTCTTAGGCATTTCACCACTGTGATCGCCCTCCTCCAAGCACTCCTTACAGTTGGTCAAAATCCCTCTTAAAATGTGGTACCCACAACTGGACACTACACTGCAATGACCAATCAATCAATCATAGGATTTAGGAGCTAGAAGGGAATGGATATATATATAAATGGGAAAACCGAGATTTAGCAAATGGAGGTGAAATGGCCCAGACCGGTTACTATGAGGTTGTGGTGAAATGGATCAACCCATTATAATCTCCTCCTTTCACAGGAACATTTAAGCACTGAGTCTGGATTTTAGAAGTTGGGGACTGATCTTACCTGCTATGATGCCATCCATCTGCTCCAAAGCAGCTGCCAGCATATCGCTGGCATCACTCATCATTTTCTAGTTTCTCAAGTGAAGAGTGAGGTCGCAACCTGGATCTGAAACAAAAAAATGATGGGTTTATTAACTACACTCAGAAAAGTATCAACTCCTACTTGGCAAATTAGGATTTCAGTTTTCAGTGTCCCACGCTAATGGTAAAGTCCTGACGTAATTTATTCACTTAGTCATTCAACAGATATTAAAGACCACTTACTATTTTTAAAAGTATTATGCTCAGAATCAGGAAGAGACATAGATAATACTATTACTACTAACTCTACTAGTAATACTTGATATTTATGTTACTGTAAGGTGAGGAAACTGCCTTATATATATTATCCCATTTAAGCCTCATCCTACTCCTGTGAAGTAGAAGCTATTATTGTTCTATTTTCCAGATAAGGAAACTAAAGCTGGAAAAGGTTAAATGACTTGCCTAGGGTCACAGAGAGTCTAGGTCTGCAAGAGAATTTGAATTTGGGTCTTCTTGACTCCAAGTCCATCACTTTATCCACTAGGCTATACACAACATCTCAATCTAGTTGGTAATTACTTTCTGTGGGTGTAGTCCCACCCAGATAAACATATAGAACTACTAAGCCTTTCTAACATTTTAGGGCAAGAGTCCACAATCTATAGCCTAGCCCAAGGTCCAAAATACACTCAACCACCTGGAATTTTACATTTTAAAAACTTAATTTTAAAATGTAAAAACCATGTATAGCTCTATGGCAGTCTAAAAACAGGTGGCTAGGATCAGCATTAATTTGCCCACTCCTGTTTCAGGGCATCAGTTCTCAAACATTTAGTTTGAGGACCCCTTAATACTTTAAAAATTATTGAGAACTTTTTGTCATTAACTTCTTCAAGGTATATGCCTAGTAACGGGATCTGTGAGTTAAAGGGTATGAATGACTGAATGAAATTTGCATAATTCCAAATTGTTTTCCAGAATGGTTGTACAAATTCACAATTCCAACACCTATACACTATGTGCCTGCTTTTCCATAAGCACTCCAACTTTATCTTTTGCCATCTTTTCCAGTTTGCTGGGAGTGAGGAAAAACCTCAGAATTGTTTTAAGTTGCATTTCCCTTATTATTTGACCATTCACCTACTGGGTAATGACTCTTTTCTTTTAAAAATGTTATAGTAATTTTTTGGTATTTTTTATATCCCTATTACTTTCAAACTTTTATCCCTACAATTCTGCACACTGAACCTTTCCTTGTAACAAAGAAAAGCAAGGGGCAGCTAGGTGGCGCAGTGGATAGAGCACCGGCCCTGAAGTCAGGAGGACCTGAGTTCAAATCTGGCCTCAGACCCAACACTTGACACGTACTAGCTGTGTGACCTTGGGTAAGTCACTTAACCCGGATTGCCTCACTGAAAAAAAAAAAACAGCCAAGGAAGATAAAATGTCCCAGCAAAACCATCTGACAGTGTATACAAAATGCCATACCTAGAATTTACCACATCTACAAAAGGGAAAGTAGTATGTTTCATCAATTTTCTGGAATCAAAACTGATCAGTGCATTTAACTTGTGTTCTGATATCTTTAGGTATTTTCATTTGCATTATTTTAGTCATATATTTTTATATTAATTTTGTCTGCTTCACTGCATTACTTCAACAAGTCATCCACATTTTCTCTGAATTGTTCATATCACCATTTCCTATGTTGTAATAATATTCCATTACATTTATATACAACAATTCAATCACTCTCCACTTGATGGGTATCCATTTTCCTTCCAGTTCTCTGCTACTACAAAAAGTGCTGCTATGAATACTTTGTTAATAAAAGCTCCTTTCCCTTGGTCAACTTCGGATATATGTGGATATGAACAGTCTTTTCTCACATAATCGCAAATTGATTTTCAGAATGGTGGGCCCAATTCACATCAACAACAGTTCATTAGTGTATGTGCCTTCCCACAGCCCCTCTACCATTGACTATGTGTCTTTGATTATCTTTGCCAACTTGATGGCTGTGAGATGAAACTTTAGAGTTGTTTTAATCTACATTTCTTTCAATATTAGTGATTTATTATTGATAGTTCTGCTCCTTTCCTTCTCTAAACTTTACCTGTTTTGGGGGAAGCCTTTCCCAAAAGCCAAACCTCTTCTCATTTCTTGCTACCAATGGTATCATTACCCCACACCTTATAACAAATGACTTAACCTCCTACTTGACTTAGAAGAATGAATTCACCTGTTGCAAACTTCCTTATTTCCCTTCTCCTATTCCTCAAACCTTAGGACCATCTGCCTTTCTCTTCTTTTCTTTCCTCTGTTCAAAGAAGAGGAACAGGGCAGCTAGGTGGTGCAGTGGCTAGAGCAACGGTTCTGGACTCAGGATGACCTGAGTTCAAATCTGGCCTCAGACACATAACACTCACTAGCTGTGTGACTCTGGGCAAGTTATTTAACCCCAATCACCTCACCAAAAAAAAAAAAAAAAAGGACCACTTCTCACTAAGTCTAATGGCTAGTGCCTTGATGTGGTGCCTTAGGGTTTGAGAAGTACTTTGCAGATACTGTATCATTTCATCCTCACAACAACTCTGCAAGGTTGGTGCTATTGTAGTCCCTGTTTTACAGATGAGGAGACAGGTACAGACAGAGGTTGAGTGACGTGCCCTGGGTCACACAGCTAGTGAGTGTGTGAGGCAGGCTTTGAACTCAGTCTTCCTGACTCTAGGCCCTGCACTCTCAGGCTACCTATGCTTTTGATCCTTTCCACTCCCATCTCCTCCGGGAATTGTTATGCTGAAGGCATCATCTCCCCTCCCTCACCGATGGTTCTTTCCCAACTGCCTGCAAACATGCTGAGTTCTCCACAATTTTAAAATTGCCTGTGCTGAACATTCTAACTCATCTAACTGCTGTGCCTCCCTCTTTATTCCCTTTTACTGACAAATTTCTAGAAAAATCATCTACAATTAGAAAACAGATTAAAAGCAATGACTAATCAGGGTTTTATTTTTATTTTCTTTCCTAATCAGGGTTTTAGAGGACTAAAGGTGGAATGCACTTCCCTCCTCTTGGTATAGAGGTGATTTTTCTTAACTTTTTTCTGCTTCTCTTGGCATAGAGTTATGAGGGTGGGGATAGTTATTGGGAAGTACCAGTGGTATTAAAAAACAACAGTGTATCAGTCAAACACTAAAAAAAAAAACCCATCTATATCTAATGCCTCCATTTTCCCTCTTAAACACACTGCGATTTGAGCTTCAACCACTCCACTTAAATTGCCTTTTCTAAGGTCATCAATGTAATCATCAAATCCAATGATCTTTTCCCAGTCCTTAATCTCCTTCACCCCTCTAGGTTTTTGACCCTGTTGATTACTCATCAGAGTGGATCTTCCTTCTTTCCTTGAAGTTAGAAATATCACACACCTCTTGTTCTCTCCCTCCCTCTCTGATAACTACTGGAATGGCTCCCCTACCCAGTTCTTTCAAGGTAGTTGGTTGCCAGAGCTCTGTCCTTTGTTCTCTTCTCCTTTCTCTACATTCTCTTCCTTGGAAATCCCATAACCTCTCCCAGCTTCAACTGTCACCGCTATAAAAATGGCTCTCAAATCTTTATCTCCATTGTTCTTCTGTCTTCTGATCTGCAGGCTCCCATCTCCTACTACTTTCAGAACATCATTATGTAATCTGTACTCCAGCCAAACGGAAAAGCTCTCCAGTCCTGGAATATATTCTGCATTCTCACATCTCTTTGCTTTGTCCATGCTGTTCCTTTACTTAGAATGTCCTTCTTTTGAGTGTTGAATTCCTATCCATTCCATAAAACCCATCTGGTGAAGACTTCTCTGATCCTCTGGTTGGTAATGACCTCCCTCCAGGACTTCACACAGCACTTTGTTTTTTAACTCTTACAATACACGATTCTCTTTGTGGTGGCAAAGAGTAGGAAATTAAAGGGATGCCCATCAATTGGGGAATGGCTGAACAAGTTGTGGTATGAGAATGTAATGGAATACTATTGTGCTATAAGAAATGGTGAGCAGGAAGATTTCAGAAAAACCTGGAAAGACTTACATGCATTGATGCTGAATGAAGTAAACAGAACCAGGAGAACATAGTACACAGTAACAGCAACATTGTGTGATGATCAACTATGATAAACTTCGCTCTTCTTGGCAATACAATGATCCAAGATAATTCCAAAAGACTCGTGATGGAAGATGCTACCCACATTCAGAGAAAGAATTATGGAGTCTGAATGCAGATTGAAGCATACAATTTTCACTTTTCCCCTCTTTCTCAAGATTTTTCCTTTTTTGTTCTGATTCTTCTTTCACAACATGACTAATGTGGGAATGTTTAATATGATTATACATGAATAACCTATATCAGATTGCTTGCTATATTGGGGAAGGGGGAGGGAAGGGAGGAAGAAAAATTTGGAACTCAAAATCTTAAAAAAATGAGTGTTGAAAACTAACTTTACATGTAATTGGAAAAAAACAAAAATACTATTAAGTGCAAAAAAAATATATAGTATTCTCTCTGTTGCATCCCACATACTAAGAGTTTTTTTTTTGAGGTAAAGGATTATACCTTATCAATCAATCAGCATTTACTAAGTGCCTACTATGTACACAAAGAAATGAAACAATAGGGGCAGCTAGGTGGCGCAGTAGATAGAGCACTGGCCCTGGATTCAGGAGGACCTGAGTTCAAATGTGACCTCAGACACATAACACTTACTAGCTGTGTGTTGCCTAGCCATTGCCTAGCCGAAAAAAAGAAAAAAGAAATGAAACAATAAATGCCATCAAGAAGCTTATAATCTCTTAACTAAAATTTTGTATTTTCTAATTGCCTAGCATAGTGATTTGCACGCAGTTGGCATTTAAGATATATTTGTTCCTAAAAAAATTATTAAAAAGCTTGTTTATGTGGGTTATATCTATTGATATTTACTCTATTAGAAATTTAAATTGACAAAATTTTTAACATTTGTGTATTAATTTAAAAGTAATTATAAGCTTATTACATGATAACATAACATATTTTTATGAAAATAACTATATTTTCT